TCTTGATCAAAACTTTCCTTATTGTAAAAGTACATGGTAAACGTTTTCACCTATCAACTTCCAGGCAGTCGTCCCAAACAGTTTCGGCATCTGTGGAGGCATCTTCTGCAGTAACGACACCGAGTGTGCTGCCTGGGAGAAATGCTGCCCAAGCTCCTGCGGTCAGAACCTTTGCACAAATCTAACAGGTGATTGGGGGGTTCCTGTTTAGTAAAAGATGAATTGCTTCAAAAACTTCCATTTGAAATGATTTGATAACTATTCTTTATTTTCTTCTCTGCATTTTAAAACTTAATTTGGAATGAGTGCCACCAACACCCTCTTTCCAAGCATTCTAGTCTCTGGTTAACTTTTCGAACTCTTTCCAAGTCGCTCCAGTCTTTATCACAAGAAGTGATAAGCACTATTTAAAAATAGAATGAAAGTATTGTTATTCTGTGTCTAAGATAAACACGTGTAAAACTGAAATTTGATTGAATGAATTCCCCAGTCGGACATAAACAACTTCTGTCAAAAACTGCAATCATTTCTTGGAACAATGTAAAAAAAGATATTGCTTTAACTTATCAGTCACACTGTTGAATATCTGTTAAAGTGATCTTTAATGAGCTCAGTGGAGGCAGTGTGGTTCACTTCTTCGGGTTAGTTTACAAACAGTTTGTGACAACGACCACCTTCAAGGACTTTTTTTTCCCCCAGAGATTGAAATAAAAAAAATATTGTGTGTCCCCTCCCCCCTCCCCAACCAAACCCACCAATTTCCTTTTCATTTTTCATAGAGGCCGCAAAAGACGAACCAGTTTGCTCAGAGGGATGTCCAGAAGGGCAGTAAAACATGGTTGGTTTAGAGCTAATGTTTTGACGTCCGTGGGTCTTCTGGGGGGGGGGGGGGCTTTTGTAACAGAACCATTTCAGCTAAACGTAGTTAACGCACCTTTTCTACTTTTAGTTTCAGTGAAGAAATACTACTTTAAGAAACCATTTAAATTGGATACACTGTCTATGTCAGTTTGCTTGTTAACATGTTATATTTTAAAATGTAGCTCTATTTTTTTTTCCGGTTACCGCAAATGTGCTTGAAAGAAATTTCGTCGACGCGAAAAATTGATAGACGGAAATTTGATCGAACGGAAATGTGATAAAATTTTATTTTTCAGTTCAACCGTTGTAATGTTCGCCTCAAGTTTCTATTTTGAACGCCGCATTTTGTTTTACTACATAGTAAAGTACGTTCAAAAAAGAAATTTGACGAAAATTAGATCGTGTGAACTAAAAAAAAAAATACGTTTTTTTTGTTGCAATTTAACATGAACAGCAGCGCGTTCCTCCGTGTGCTGTACGGTTATCAGTGAGACAAAATCGATACAGGTGTGCTGGACGCCGAATCTCACTTTAAATAAGTGTCCCAGCACCTGCCGCAACGTTATAGCAAGGCAAACATTTGGATATCGAGCGTTAAAACAAAACATAACAAAAGCAACAAAAAAAAAATAATAATAATAAAGCTAAACACGAACAAGGATAATTAACATTCCCGAAAACGTGCGTGTTGATTTTTAGGAGACAGAATTGAATGTGAATATGAACAAACAAAAAATACGCAGTCCAATTTTAAAGAGTTTAACTTTTTTTTTCTTCATAAATCGTGATTTAAATTAAGTTCAGTTACTGTTTCCCCCCACCCAGGTTACACCTGTGAATACAAACCTTTCCCTTGCAAGGAGGGCACGGCTTGCATTGCTATAACAGTACCCACCTGTGTACCGGTGAGTTTTTTTGTGTTTTAAATTTTGCAACGCTATAACAACAAATATTAAAGAGAATAACGAAATACCAATATCAAAAACAACAACTACACGGTTCTGTACTTTAGTGTGAAAAGAAGGACTGCGCCTGAAGTTGTAAATGTCTTTAATTTCCTGGACTTTGTTTCAGCCGGTGGACCAGTGTGGGGGATGCCCAGAAGGTGCGAAGTGTGTCAACACAGGCATCGTGTGTATCACTGAACAGTGCCCCACGTACGAGTGCGTCTCGGAAAGTGCACTCGTAAGTAGAGATTTAGCGATGTCTTTTATTTTAAAAAATCATTTGATGACGTACATCAACTTCAATTAAATAAAGAAGTTCCTTTTTTTTTGACGAGGTAATGCAATGTTCTATCATATTTCGATGGAGGCTGCGCTCAGTGATTACTTCAGAAATTTTGCCCGGGGTGCACTTTAGATTTTTCGGGGCGGGGGGGGGGGCAGTGCCAGCAGTGCCAGTTGATTAATTGTTGGACATAGTTTTCTCCGAGGGGGCACTTAGCTTTCCCAGGGGGGATAGCGCCCCCCCCCCCCGAAATATAGCTGAAAGAAACTCTGGCGCTGCTTTCTTCATGAGTAAAAAATCGATTGACTTCCGTTCGTATGTAGAGCTGAATTCTATTATTCCAAAGGTGTAACTTTGTAAGAATGCATTAATATAGTCTTCAGAAAAAGAAAAAAACAACAATTGAAAATGCTTAAAATAAAATCAGAGTTAATTATATTTATTTNTGGACATTGTTTTTTCCGGGGGGGCACTTAGGTTTCCCAGGGGGGATAGCGCCCCCCCCCCCCGAAATATAGCTGAAAGAAACTCTGGCGCTGCTTTCTTCATGAGTAAAAAATCGATTGACTTCCGTTCGTATGTAGAGCTGAATTCTATTATTCCAAAGGTGTAACTTTGTAAGAATGCATTAATATAGTCTTCAGAAAAAGAAAAAAACAACAATTGAAAATGCTTAAAATAAAATCAGAGTTAATTATATTTATTTTCATGCAAAGGGAGCTTTGACCACACGAAGCCTTTCGCGTCTTAATAGCTAAGGTAGCCTTTGAGGGTCATTGCAGGAGATAGTATTGTAGGTTATGATTTAACGTGGATCATCCCCATGTCTTTGCACGATCCACAAATATTTAGCTTCAGCATTCGTTATAGAGATTGGTGCCTTTGAGACTTTGATATATGTTCCTAAACACACAGTATTTTGTTGCTTTTGATATTTATAATTAATTTGACTAAATATAAATATGAAAACATCTGTGTTCGTCCAGCCCAAGGACAGCTGTGGTGGATGTCCTGACGGTCACGCGTGCCAGCCCAGTGGAAAAGTCTGCGTTATGGCACCGTGCCCTGAAGCCTTCGAGTGCGTCGCGGTGTCCACCCCAAGACCGCCGGCGGCGGCTTGTAACCTGGCCTGCAGACGAGGTTACGAATGTCAGTTGCGGGTCCCTACCTGCCGGTTCTGGAGCAGATGGTTTTGCAGGAGCCGCACCGTCCCCACCTGTGTCCCGAAATGCCCCAAGACCAACGGTTCACGGAGGCGATGTTCTAGGTGGTGGAAACCGAGAAAAGCGTGCTCCGGCGATAACGACTGCAGGAAGAACAAAAATCAGAGATGCTGTCCATCACAGTGTGAATGGGACGTGTGCACAAATGTTAGAAACAAATATTAAAAAAGAAAACCTTCTTTTATTTTTGCTTTCATTTATTCATAGTTGGTGTTTGAAAAAAAATAAAAATAAATGTCAAATTGTAATTGCGATATGTTGGTCGGAAAAAAGAAAAAAAACAAAAAACAACTCATGGTCTATTTTTATTTAAAAGTCGTACTTCAATGTATTAAGCTCTTAGAGTCCTCAAAGCTGAACTCCCTTGTATCTCATGAGTAGAGTCCTCAAAGCTGAACTCCCTTGTATCTCATGAGTAGAGTCCTCAAAGCTGAACTCCCTTGTATCTCATGAGTAGAGTCCTCAAAGCTGAACTCCCTTGTATCTCATGAGTAGAGTCCTCAAAGCTGAACTCCCTTGTATCTCATGAGTAGAGTCCTCAAAGCTGAACTCCCTTGTATCTCATGAGTAGAGTCCTCAAAGCTGAACTCCCTTGTATCTCATGAGTAGAGTCCTCAAAGCTGAACTCCCTTGTATCTCATGAGTAGAGTCCTCAAAGCTGAACTCCCTTGTATCTCATGAGTAGAGTCCTCAAAGCTGAACTCCCTTGTATCTCATGAGTAGAGTCCTCAAAGCTGAACTCCCTTGTATCTCATGAGTAGAGTCCTCAAAGCTGAACTCCCTTGTATCTCATGAGTAGAGTCCTCAAAGCTGAACTCCCTTGTATCTCATGAGTAGAGTCCTCAAAGCTGAACTCCCTTGTATCTCATGAGTAGAGTCCTCAAAGCTGAACTCCCTTGTATCTCATGAGTAGAGTCCTCAAAGCTGAACTCCCTTGTATCTCATGAGTAGAGTCCTCAAAGCTGAACTCCCTTGTATCTCATGAGTAGAGTCCTCAAAGCTGAACTCCCTTGTATCTCATGAGTAGAGTCCTCAAAGCTGAACTCCCTTGTATCTCATGAGTAGAGTCCTCAAAGCTGAACTCCCTTGTATCTCATGAGTAGAGTCCTCAAAGCTGAACTCCCTTGTATCTCATGAGTAGAGTCCTCAAAGCTGAACTCCCTTGTATCTCATGAGTAGAGTCCTCAAAGCTGAACTCCCTTGTATCTCATGAGTAGAGTCCTCAAAGCTGAACTCCCTTGTATCTCATGAGTAGAGTCCTCAAAGCTGAACTCCCTTGTATCTCATGAGTAGAGTCCTCAAAGCTGAACTCCCTTGTATCTCATGAGTAGAGTCCTCAAAGCTGAACTCCCTTGTATCTCATGAGTAGAGTCCTCAAAGCTGAACTCCCTTGTATCTCATGAGTAGAGGCCTCAAAGCTGAACTCCCTTGTATCTCATGAGTAGAGTCCTCAAAGCTGAACTCCCTTGTATCTCATGAGTAGAGTCCTCAAAGCTGAACTCCCTTGTATCTCATGAGTAGAGTCCTCAAAGCTGAACTCCCTTGTATCTCATGAGTAGAGGCCTCAAAGCTGAACTCCCTTGTATCTCATGAGTCATCAGCAGGTTTAACAGCCGGACCTTTTTTTCCCTCTTATTACTGATATTTTTTTTTCTTTAACCCTAATGTGAGACACCAACCAAATAAAATATGAACCCAATTCATGTTTTAAAAATTAAATATATCCCGCGTTTCAGTAATCGTAGTAACAAGTCGCAGTTATTGTATTCGATTTCTCAAAATCTAGACAGGGCTCGGCATTATATATTTGTTAAAAGTGATTCACGAAAAATAGAATTTTAATGTTTTGAAATTTTCACTGTTTACTCATTCATCTTACATTAAAGCAATCAATATTCTCGAAACCTGACTGATCTATTGGGTCTATCGTTGTCAAAGTGGCATCCATCTCTAGTAGACTTTCGTATCATTTTGATACCCGGAGAGATTTTCCGGTTTTACTCGGTTTACTCGGATGGAATTGACATTTGGCATTTATCTTATAATTTTCTTTATCACCTAAAGCAATAACAGTTCACATTAAAGTGTGATTTTTTTTAAAAACCAAAAAAATAAAAAATAAAAACAGAAGAAATGCATCTACCTTCTTTATTAAGTGAATTGAGTCTTTTGAAAGTAAACATTAAAAGACAGTTGTCTTTCAGTTCGATCTTTTTTTTTAAAAATGGGTTCAACCTAGAAACTATTTTTTAAACTTTAAATTCAATTCTTTAAATTTTATTTATTTATTTTTTTTTGGGGGGGGGGGGGGGGGGG